AATTTTCGTTTAAAGTTTTCAGTGATTTCTAGGGAAGCTGGAAAGAACAGAAATCATCAAGTTTAGCAAAAGATCCCCAATCATGGGAGAGTGCGCTGTACTTCCTGACATGGAGCTATCACACAGGAAGCTACCATGCAGGAGAGAAGAAAACCAAAGGATCCCATTCCCACTTCAGCAAAACACGAGCTTTGCCAAAAACATGAAGAAAGCAATCACTTCTTCCTCTCCTCCCCACTTCTTGGCAAAGGCCACACTGCAGCTTCCATCCAGCATCTCCGTTTCCCACACACATGGCTCTTTTCCTACTCAACACCATCCTGCCCTTTGCCAAATGCCCACCCACACTCCATGCTCCTCGCAAAACTTGCTGCCACAACACCTGGATGTTGTTCCACCCCACCAACAAAATCCAGCTCCAAACCCAACTCTGAGCATCACCCTCTACACAGCCTTGCCTGCTCCCGCCACAGCCTAGGATGCACAAACTGCACTCTCAAGGCATTAAACTGGCTCAGAAATCCCAGATGGAAATGGAGAAAGCTGGCCCAATGAACAACATTTACAGCAGCTTCTGCTGGAGCAGCCACTCCTCGTGCTCAGGATCACAGGAGTCAAAGGCCATCTGACAGACTGCTGAAAAAGCTGGCCTATGGTACAGAACAGTGAGGTGAAGGAAAACCAAGTGGGCTAAACAAAAACAAAAACAAAACTCTATGTAGAACCTGACAAGGCCCTGGAACATCAGGCCAGGAATTGACACAAATTGCCTTCCTTGGAGACAGACAGACCTTCACAGGATGAGGCCCTCACCAGCCTCATCTAACTGCAGTGTTCTTCCTGCTCTCAGCAAGGAAACCACGGACATCCATGTGCCACCTTCAACACGAGGTACCTTAAGATCCTATCACATGGGAAGCAAGAGGCAGACCTGAAAGCCAGTGACATTCTCTCAATGACAACCTCTGCTCTGAACAGTGCAAAAAACAGCACCAACACACACATGGGCAACTACACAAGTGTCTGCCCTCTGTCAGCAGCCACAACTCAACAGACTACATCTCATCCACCATTACCAACAGATTTCCAATATGAGAGAAGAAAAACAGTAGAGTGGGGAGTGGGACGTTTTCATTACAGGAGAGATTAAAACTATAGTATTCTAGTCCACTTCATTGAAACACAAGCTCTGGACAACATTGAGAATACAGACAGCACTTCTTCCTGTCTATCTCAAGAATACAACCAGAGGGAAGACTGCAGCGACATTTTGACAACTCAGGAAGAATCATCCCTAGTGGGAAAAGGTCCTGCCTGAGCAACAACACTCCACCTTCAGACAGACATGATTTAAGGTGCCTATGAAGATACCTTCACAAGCAGAAACATCACAACAACAGGGAGTGAGGACAAGCAGAACTTGATTGCACAGGACCCTGAGGAAGGTCATCGTTCTTCATGCCTTCCTGTCTCCAATCACTTGACTGGAGGCCCCTGACATCCCATTCTACATAAAACATGCTGTCGTGCTCTCAACTTACTCAAGCTTCATCCACAAGCAAGAAGGGGATCCCCAGGGAAAATACCAGGCAAAGACTCAAAACACACAGAGCAAGGAAGGCATGTGGAAGCATGAATAAAACACTGCCTCTCATCCTCAGAAAGAGCTCACAGCTGAATTTATGGGAATTCTGAGAGGCTCCTGGCTGAGGAGCACAGTGTGTCAGGCTTCTTCTCCGTGTCGTCTTCTGCCATATTCTGTCCTGCACCCTGGGAAATCAGACCTCCATGACAGAATTTCCAAACCAGGATTGAGGAACACTTGGATGCATGCTAACACAGATGGAAAAACTCAAAAACCATGATTAGCAGATTACCACCCAACCACCAAATAACAAACAAGCTATAAAACCATTTTTACTACACAGGTTTCAAGTATGAACTGAATGAGAAAGAATAGTGCCTACAGGACCAGCACCACTGTTCATATCACCAGTCCTTCAGCAATCTCAGGTGGAAATACTGCATGCCAGTAAGAAGCAGGATTTGTGGAACCCATGTCATGAAAGCTCCAAGCACAATCTCCATTGATTTTATTCTCAAGATTGGCAAAACCTTCAAATCATGTCACTTCAAGCCTGGAAAAGGGTCTTGCCCAGGAACACTCTGAGACCACTCTGATTACGGATTCACTTTAGGCACCCTTGATCCCCCATTCTCAAATGTGTGTTTTCAACACAAGTAGACACCTCTTCTTCTACTCTTATGGCATGCAATGCAGACTATTGATTTCCTTTTCCCTGAAGCAGTGGGACTTCCCCCCAAAGGTCACGGTTCACTTCAGAATAAGGCCAGGCCAAGGCAGTTCAGTGCCATTGCCACATTCACCTCCGCCAGGTGACACACTTTCCCTTCCCAACACAATGCTCACTCCAACTTTCACACACCCTTCCCAGCAATGACAGATCTGAAACCTGCAAAACCCTGCCAATGGTCCCATATGCACAGGGACCATCTTGCAGATTCACTGAAAGAACATCAAAACAGGCCAGTGTGCCTCTTTCAAAAAGAGATGTAATGACAGCTAACATCAATGGGTATTGACTTCATTCTGAGAGATGACAACCCTGTTGGTGAAGGAGTGAGACACAAACATTATGGCATCGGTATTAGAAGCTGCAATAGCTTTGCAGCATCCTGCATGGATACAGGACTTCACAGCATCACTTATCTGAAAACATGAGGCCAAGACTGTTCTGCTTTTCCAGCTACACAAGATGTTTCCTAAGTGGCCCTGAAGAAAACAACGTAACAACAGTAGGCCCAGCAGTCAGCTACTTAAAGGGCTTTCAATAGTGCCTGCTGCACAGTCACAACCAGACCATGTCTTCCTGGACTGCAGTCCTTCTGCAGAAACAGTAACATTCAGAAATGTTACACACCAGGAACCAACAGGATTGGCAGAGACCATGTTGTGATGAAAATCCTTGTAAACTTACTTCCACAAGCACATCGTTTCAATGACCAACGTGCCATGAAATATCATCGGAAAACAAAACACAAGAACTGGTAAAGAAAAAAAATAACAAAACAAGGGGCAACCTACCGTGCCTGAGGAGTATGGGGAGAGCGAAGGTCCCTTCTCGGCAGAAGCGTTTTCTGCCGCGGGGCCGGGCGGCGGCGGGCAGTTGGGGCTGAAAACCATCAGGTCGCTCTTGCCCGCGCCGTCCGCCACGCACAGGCTCCGGCTCTGGCGCTGCGAGTACGACCAGCTGCCCACCTCGCTGGCGCACACCAGCGTGGCCGGCCCGGGCCCCGCCAGCACGGCCGCCCGCGGCGCCCAGCGCGACGCCCCGTACAGCACCACCGCCAGCAGGAACAGGCTCGACACCGCGCAGATGGCCACCACCAGCCACACGTTCGTCGCCGCCGCCGCCGCCGCCGCGCCGCCCTCCGCGCCCGCCGCCGGCCGCACACCCGCCCCCGACGACGACGCCCCCGCCGCCGCCGCCGCCGACAGCGCCGCCTCGGCGCCCTCCACCAGCGACACGCTCAGCGTGGCCGTGGCCGAGCGCGACGGCTCCCCGTGGTCCCGCACCACGATCAGCAGCCTCTGCCGCGGGCCGTCCGCCTCCTCCAGCGCCCGCGCCGTGCTCACCTCGCCGCTGTACAGCCCCACGCGGAACGGGCCCTTGCCCCGCGGCTCCCACAGCTCGTAGCGCAGCCACGCGTTGTAGCCCGAGTCCGCGTCCACCGCGCGGATCTTCGCCACCACCTGCCCCGCCGGCGCCCCCCACGCCGCCCACGCCCACAGCGACCCCGGCGCCGACGCCGACGCCGACGCCTCGCCCGCAGCCCAGGGCCCCGGCCCGCCGCCGGCAGGCGGCAGCAGCGCCGGCGCGTTGTCGTTCTCGTCCACCACGAACAGCTGCACCGTGGCGTTGCCGCACAGCGGCGGCTCGCCCGCGTCCACCGCACGCACCTCGAACTGCAGCACCTGCAGCTCCTCGTAGTCCAGGGGCCGCAGCGCCCACAGACGCCCGCTCTCCGCGTCCACCGACACGTAGCTCGACGCCGGACGCCACCCCGACCCCGACCCCGCGCCCGCGCCCGCGCCGCCCTCCGCCACCGAGTAGCTCACGCGCCCGTTGCCCGCCTCGTCCGGGTCCCGCGCCCACAGCCGCGCCAGCTCCGCGCCCGCCGCGTTGTTCTCCCGCGCCAGCACCGTGTACACGGCCTGCGCGAACGCCGGCGCGTTGTCGTTCACGTCCGACACCGGCACCCGCAGCCCGCGGCTGGCGCGCAGCGGCGGCGCCCCGCCGTCCTCCGCCCGCACCTCCACCTCGTACTCCGACACCCGCTCCCGGTCCAGCGCCTCCCGCAGCACCAGCGAGTACGAGCCCGCGAACGTCGCCACCAGCCCGAACGGCGCCGGCGGCCACACCGCGCAGCGCACCCGCCCGTTCGCCCCCGAGTCCCGGTCCGACACGCTCAGCAGCGCCACCACCGTCCCCACCGACGCGTCCTCGGGCACCGGCACCGACAGCGACGTCACCCACACCTCGGGCGCGTTGTCGTTCACGTCCAGCACCTCCAGCTCCACGCTGCAGTGCCCTGACAACGGCGGAACGCCCTTGTCTCTCGCTTCAATGCGGAAGTCAAATACAGTGACTTCCTCAAAGTCCAGCGAACCGGCGAGTCGGATCTCGCCCGTCTGTGGATTAACCGAAATCAAATCCTTTCCACTCAGGGGAGTGAACTTCGTCGCGGTGTAAGTCACTTCACTGTTACTTCCTTCGTCTGGGTCTGTAGGCGCCGACACGCGCCAGCAGTGTCCCCTCCGCTGCGTTCTCCAGTACCTGCACTTTATACACCGACTGGTTGAACTGGGGCGCGTTGTCGTTCGCATCCAGCACTGACACCAACAGCTCCACCGTGCCCGTCAGTGCCGTCCTGCCCCCGTCAATCGCCGTCAGCACCAGACGGTGCTCGGCCAACGACTCGCGGTCTAGAGGTTACTTTAATACAAGGTAAGGAACGATATTCCGTTCATTCTCTTTTCCTAATTCCAGAGCGAAGTGCTCGCTGGGGCTGAGGGTATAGGAGAGCTGCGCGTTGGCTCCGATATCTGCATCCGACGCGCCCTCCAGCGGGAAACGGGAACCAAGAGGCGAGTTTTCCGATAAATTTAGGTTCACCATAGCGGCGGGGAAGAGCGGGGCATTGTCGTTGATGTCGGTGACCTCCACCTCCACGTGGAAGACGCGCAGCGGCCGCTCCAGCAGCACCTCCAGGCGCAGGGCGCAGGGCGCGCTCTTCCCGCACAGCTCCTCCCGGTCCAGCCGCGAGCTCACCACCAGCGCCCCGCTCGCCCCGCTCACCTCCACGCTCGCCCGCCGGCCCTGCGCCACCAGCCGCAGCCGCCGCGCCTCCGCCTCGCCCGCCTCCAGGCCCAGGTCCTGCGCCAGCCGCCCCACCACCGTGCCGCCCTTGGCTTCCTCCGGCACCGAGTAGCGCACCTGCCCGCCGCCCAGCGCCCAGGCCGCCTGCAGCACCAGCACCCGCACCACGGCCCGCACGCACACCACCATGGCCGCCGCCGCCGCCCGCGCCCCGCACGGCTCCCAACGCCGCCGCCGCCGCTCTCCTGCCCGCCCCGCGCCGCTCCCCCCGCGCGCACAGCCGCCCTTCCCGCCGCCCCGGGGCGGAGCCGCCCTCCCGCCGCTCCCGCGCCGTTCCTGAGCCTGCAGCGACACCGTGTGCTCCGACGCCTCACTCGCGCCCGCCGCCGACAGCACGACAGCGACACCGACACCGCCGCGCGGGACAGGACACCCCCGCCACTCGCGGGACACACCACGGACACGGCGCCGACACCCACCCCAGCACAGCCCGAGACAGCTCCCCGCACACTGACTGGCTTCCAGCCCTTGCTTGCTTGCTTTCCCGTCTCTCTCCTCCTTTGCTTCTCCTCCATTGCTTCTCCTCTTGCTTGCTTTCCTGCTTGCTTCTTGTTTGCATGCTTTCTTCTGCATGCATACTACTTTCCTTTTTTTCTCCCTTTTCCTTTTTTCCATTTCTTTCCTTCTTTCACTTTTTTCCTTCTTTCACTTTGTTCCTTCATTCTCGCTATTACTTCTTTCCCTTTGTTCTTTTTTTCCCTTCTTTCTGAACCTTATTTTCTTCTTCATATATCTCATTCTTTCTCTCTGTTCCTTTATGATTCCTTTATTTTATTTTTTTTCATTCGATTTCTTCTTCCTTTTTTATTCCTATGTTACTTCGTTTTTTCTTTTACTTCCTTTCAGTCTTCTTGTCCGTCTGGAGCGGTGTGTGCGCTCCACATGCCACTCCTTGCATATCGACAGGCTGCCAGCCCTGCACGCATTACACCGACGAAGGCTCCTCCTTGATTCTTTTCTCGCTTGCTTCCTTCCTTCCTTTCTTTCTCGTCTCTCTCCTCCTTTGCTTCTCCTCCATTCTCTCTCTTGCTTGCTTTCCTACTTGCTTCTTCCTTGCCTACGTTCTTCTAGACATCTTCTTTTCTTTTTTCACTTCTTTCCTTCTTTCTGCAACTTCAGTCCTTCTTGACATACCTTCATTCTTACTTTTTTCCATCGTTATTCATTTGTTTATTTTTTAATTCGATTTCTTTTTCCTTTTTCTTTCTATGCCCCTTCCTCTTTTTTCTTATATTTTCTTTCAGTCTTTCAATTTCTTCTTTCAGTTTTACAACTTATTCCTGGTTTCCTTCTTTCCTTCACTCCTTCTATTCATCTGCTTCTCTTCCTCTCCTCTTTACTTCTCATGTTTCCCTTCCTTGATTAGCCTTCATAACCTTTCCATTTCCCTCCTTGCCCTTTTTTCGTCTTCCTTCACTTTTTTCCCCTCCTTTATCAAAACACTGTCCAAATGCCTACAACATCAAGTGCACCATCAAGCACAGACATGACCCCAGCCAAGCTCTCTTCTTCAGCTTCCTCATGGCCTTTCATTGAGCTCTGTACAGGGTTCCTCAGCACTCATGAGGACAACATCCCCCCATCTCTCTTCTCCTTTTCTTTTACTACATTCACTGTCTTGCTTGCTTCTTTTGCTTGCATATTTTCTTCTCAATGTCTTCTTTCCAACTTTCACTACTATCCATCTTTCACTTCTTTCCTCCTTCCATCTTTGCTTCTTTGCTTCCCTCCTTTCTGTATTTTCCTAAATTTCCTTCCTCTCATTTCTTTCGTGTTTCCTTTCCTTCCTTCTATTTCTCTTTCCTCTTTTGTTTCGCTTCCATTCTCAGTCTTGGTTGCTTCTTGCTTGCCTACATTCTTCTCAATGTCTTCCTTCCTTCTGTTGTGCTTTCTGTCATGTTCTTTCTTCACTCTTTCTCTACCTCTCTTCCAGTTCTTTCATTCTTTCAGTAACGTCCTTCTTTTTTACTTGATTCATCCTTTCAGTTCCTTCTTTCCTTTTCTCTTACTTCTTTCAGTCATCCTACAGTATCTTCATGCTTCCTTTCTTTCTTTCACTCCTTCAATCCATCTGCTTCTCTTCCTCTCCTCTTCTCTTTACTTTTCCTTTTTTTTTTTCTTCCATTCTCAAAATGCTTTCCAAATGCCTGCATCACTCTTCCAATCAAACTCAGACATGCTCTGAAGCAACACCTCTTCTTCCTCTTCCTCACCGCCTTCCATTCTGCTCTGTACACCATCCTTAGCACTCAGCAGGATCATGTCTCCGCAGGAATTTCTCTCATGAGCCACTGCACACCAGAGGACCTGGATGCCCACTGCAAACAGGCACCAAGACCTCCATACAGCTCAGGTGAGTCTTTCACTCACTTTCACAAACTGCAACCTTTCATGGCTGTCCTGCCACCTGCTCACGCTGTGATGGGAAGCAACAGGAAAGGAACAAGATCAGGCAGCAGGGCTCTGCTGCTCTAAAACTACAGCCATTACCCAGGATATGTTCCATCCACCCAACATGAACATATTGCAGTTAAATAGCAAAAATTGTGCATTGCTTTCTTGAACACATCTTATTTGGGCAGGAGCCACTTACCTTTATTTAGGAAAAGATCTTCCATGACAGGAGAATTGCTTATAAACAACAATTTCATCAAACGTTATTCCAGATTCCCCGGGAAGCTGGATGGAAAAACTTTACTTCAGATGTGGGACACCTATGAAATCATTCGACACCACAAATTGCTCCCCTACACATGTTCACTTTTTGGAATGAGACGTATTACAAGAGATGCACCATCTCCACTGGGGCCAACTATGCAAGTACAAAGACTGAGGGGAAGTCAAGTGCACAACGAATACACCCACCCCATCACGTCTCCTTAGAAATTTCCTCTATTTCTCACTCCACACAGACACCATGGGAAGGGATCCTTCCCAGTGGGAGAAACCCATTGGTACCAACATGCACACCACAAGGCTCCAAACCTACAGGCATTCCCCAGGCAATGTTCAGTCCATCCAACATAAAGGGAACACAACTAAACTGCAAAAAAATAGACACCTGTCTGTCTCCCAAACATAATTTTTGCATATGAACAACTTACCAGCACCATCAGCAGTTGCATGCGATTGCATGCTCAGAAAAAGTAACAGATTCATGGATGGATAATTGGTTTCAAAGAGAAATTTTCATTTCAAATCTTCAGTGATTTCTAGGGAAGCTAGACTCAAGAGAAATCATCAAGCTTAGCAAAAGCTCCCCAGTTGTGGGAAACTGTGATGTACCTCCCTGACACATGGCTGTCACACAGGAAACCATCATACAGGAGAGTAAAAATAAATAAATAAGCAAATAAATAAATAAATAAATAAATAAATTAAAAAGTATCCCATTCAAGCTAATTGAAACACAAGATTTGCCAACAGCATAAACATGGAGAGCACTTCTTCCACTCCTCCCCACTTCTTGGCAAAGGCCACACTGCAGCTTCCATCCAGCATCACCATTTCCCACAAACACGCTTATTTTCCTACTCAACACCATCCTGCCCATTGCCAAATGATCACTCCTTCTCAAAAAGGAGTTCACAAAATCTCTGCCACAACACCTGGACGATGCTCCAGCCCACAGACACAGTACAGCTCCAAACCCACCTCTGAGCATCACCTTCTGCACAGCCTCACCTTCTCTCACCACTGCCAGGATCTTCCACCCTGCGCAAACGGCAATCTCAAGCCTTTGCACTGGCTCAGCAATCTCTGATGAAAATGGTGAAAGCTGGCCTGATGGACATTTACACAGCTTCTGCTGGAGCAGCCACTCCTCATGCTCAGGAACACAGGAGTCAAAGGCCATCTGACAGACTGCTGAAAAACCAGGCCTATGGTACAGAACAGTGAGATGAAGGAAAACCAAGTGGGCATACAAAAACAAAACTCTATGTAGAGACTGGGGAGGCCCTGGAACATCAGGCCAGGAATTGACCCAAAATGCCTTCCTTGGAGGCAGACAGACCTTCACAGGATGAGGCCCTCACCAGCCTCATCTAACTGCAGTGTCATTCCCGCTCTCAGCAAGGAAACCACGGACATCCATGTGCCATCTTCAACATGACGTGCCTTAAGATCCTATCACATGGGAAGCAAGAGGCAGACCTGAAAGCCAATGACATTCTCTCAACGACAACCTCCACTCTCAACAGTGCAGAAGCCAGCACCCACACTCACAGCCAACTGTCCAAGTGTCTCTTCTCTGGCAGCAGCCTCAACTCAGCAGACTACATCTCATCCACTATTACCAACAGATTTCCAATATGAGAGAAGAAAAACAGCAGAGTGGTGAGTGGGACATTTTCGTTACAGGAGAGAAGAAAACCAAAGGATCCCATCCCACTTCATTGGACCACAAGGTCTGGACAACACTGAGAATACAAACAGCACTTCTTCCTGTCCCTCCCAAAAATACGAGCAGAGGGAATATCTTGGGGAACTTCCGACAACTCGAGAAGAATTGTCAGTAGTGGGAAAAGCTCCTGCCTGAGCAACAATACTCCACATTCGGGCAGACATGGTTAAAGGCACCTATGGCAGATGTCTTCACAAGCAGGAATGCCACAAGAACAACGGGGAGTGAGGACATGCAGAACTTGACTGCACAGGGCCCTCAGGAAGCTCATCATTCTTCACACATGGCCTTGACATCCCCATTTGCTTCCTTTGAGACCCCCCAGGTCCCATCCTACATAAACCACACTGACATGCTCTCAGCTTACTCGAGCTTCATCCATATGCAAGAAGGGGATCCTCAGAGAAAACATCAGGCAAAGCCTCCAAACACACAAGACCAAGTCAGTTGTGTGGCAGCATGAATAACATGCTGCCTCTCATCCTCAGAAAGAGATCACAGATGAATTTCTGGGAATTCGGAGAGGTGCCTTGCTGAGGAGCACAGTGTGCCATGTGCTCTTCTCCATGTCGTCTAATGGCATATTCTGTCCTGCACCCTGGGAAATCAGATCTCCAGGAGAGTATTTCCAAACCAGGAGCTGAGGAGCTCTTAGATTCACGCCAGCACAGATAGAAAGCTTCAAAAAACATCATTAGGGAATTACCACCCCACCCACCAAATAACAAACAAACAAACATTAAAATCATTTTAAGTCAAAAGGTTTCAAGTATGAACTGAATGAGAAAGAATAATGCCTACAGGACCACCTCTACTTTTCATATCATCCACTGCTTCAGCAATCTCAGGTGGAAATGCTGCACACCAGTAAGAAACAGGATTTCGGGAGCCCATGTTGAGAAAGCACTAAGCATGATCGGCAATGTTTTTATTCTATCAGAAAATAAATAAATAAATAAATATCAAACACTGAACAGCTAGCCTCCATAAGAAGTTCCAAACCAGGAACTGATGGGATCAACATATTTGCAACAGTTAAAAAAAAAACATCGTAAGGGGACTACACACAACAATTCCATAAAAAGGAACAGCAATGCAGTGGAAGTAGAATGAGTAGAACACCAAAAGCGTTCTCCCATCTCCCATTCCATTACAAGACTTGTGTGAAAAGTAGGAAGACTCCAACACCGCTGTCTCATGAGCATCAGACAACCCACCAACTGCACCCAGCTGCAATGAGCATGAGCTGGGCACAAGGAAAACATCCTATCACATTTACCAGCACTCCCAGGACACAGGACAGGCCGGTCACCACAGAATGCATATAACTGGCACAGTCAGATCCTCTAAAGCTGTCCTCAAACAAAACACTTTGCCGGATGCAAAAAAACAGTTCTCTGTTGCTCTGTTTATTGCCCTGTCCTCCTGCTCTGCTCTTCTACCTCTCTATTGCAAACTACACAAATAGCATGCTCAAAATGGGATAAATATTATATGATTTTTGCTGCATCTTCCACTTTAACAATGACTTTCTGGCAGTAAACAGAGTGGAAAAGTTTATCTATCTTCAAGGAGCATGGGAAAAGACAGGGGAAACCGGCATGCCTTGCTGAGAACAGAGGCATAGTGATCCCGAGCAACTGCAGCTCTACACAGAAGCTAAGCAACAGCAGGAAAGGGAAGGAGTCAAACTCACTTCCTCTGATATATTTTCAATTGCACAAGACAAGGCCCTCTGCAACATCATCTAACTCAACTTCAGCCCTCCATCCAATGATGACAAATCCCTTTTTCCAGGGAAATCACCCACTCCACTTCCTAGTCCACTTCTCTGCAATGAGTGATTTTTTACCATCTTGCTCAACACAACCCAGAGGAGAGAGAGGGATTCAAAATTGATGCAGTGAAAATTCTCACAAGGAATATACCTCAAATGATATTCTGGACATTTCAATACCACATACAATTCTCAACATATGCAAGACCTTCAAATCGTGTCTCTTGGAGCCTGGCAAATGGCCCTACCCAGGAACACTCTGAGACCACTTTGCCTCAACATTCACTTTAGGCACCCTTGATCCCCCATTCTCGAATGTGTGTTTTCAACACAAGTAGACACCTCTTCTTCTACTCGTAAGGCATGCAATGCAAACTATTGATTTCCTTTTCCTTAGGCAGTGGGACTTCCCCCCAATGGTCACGGTTCACTTCAGAATAAGACCAGGTCCCATTCAGTGCCACTGCCACATTCACCTCCGCCAGGTGACACACTTTCCCTTCCCAACACAATGCTCACTCCAACTTTCACACACCCTTCCCAGCAATGACAGATCTGAAACCTGCAAAACCCTGCCAATGGTCCCATATGCACAGGGACCATCTTGCAGATTCACTGGAAGAACACCAAACTGGCCAGTGTGCCTCTTTCAAACAGAGATATAATGACAGCTAACATCAATGGGTATTGACTTCTTTCTGAGGGATGACAACCCTGTTGATGAAGGAGTGAGACACAAACATCATGGCATCAGTGTCAGATGGTACAATAGCTTTGCAGCATCCTGCACGGATACAGGACTTCACAGCATCACTTATCCGAAAACATGAGGCCAAGACTGTTCTGCTTTTCCAGCTACACAAGGTGTTTCCTGAATGGCCCTGAAGAAAACAACGTAACAACAGTAGGCCCAGCAGTCAGCTACTTAAAGGGCTTTCAATAGTGCCTGCTGCACAGTCACAACCAGACCAACTCTTCCTGGACTGCTGTCCTTCTTCAGAAACAGTAACATTCAGAAATGTTACACACCAGGAACCAACAGGATTGGCAGAGACCATGTTTTGATGAAAATCCTTATAAAATTACTTCCACAAGCACATCGTTTCAATGACCTACGTGCCATGAAATATCATGGGAAAACAAAACACAAGAACTGGTAAAGAAAAAAAATAAAAAAAACAAGGGGCAACCTACCGTGCCCGAAGAGTATGGGGAGAGCGAAGGTCCCTTCTCGGCAGAAGCGTTTTCTGCCGCGGGGCCGGGCGGCGGCGGGCAGTTGGGGCTGAAAACCATCAGGTCGCTCTTGCCCGCGCCGTCCGCCACGCACAGGCTCCGGCTCTGGCGCTGCGAGTACGACCAGCTGCCCACCTCGCTGGCGCACACCAGCGTGGCCGGCCCGGGCCCCGCCAGCACGGCCGCCCGCGGCGCCCAGCGCGACGCCCCGTACAGCACCACCGCCAGCAGGAACAGGCTCGACACCGCGCAGATGGCCACCACCAGCCACACGTTCGTCGCCGCCGCCGCGCCGCCCTCCGCGCCCGCCGCCGGCCGCACACCCGCCCCCGACGACGACGCCCCCGCCGCCGCCGCCGCCGCCGACAGCGCCGCCTCGGCGCCCTCCACCAGCGACACGCTCAGCGTGGCCGTGGCCGAGCGCGACGGCTCCCCGTGGTCCCGCACCACGATCAGCAGCCTCTGCCGCGGGCCGTCCGCCTCCTCCAGCGCCCGCGCCGTGCTCACCTCGCCGCTGTACAGCCCCACGCGGAACGGGCCCTTGCCCCGCGGCTCCCACAGCTCGTAGCGCAGCCACGCGTTGTAGCCCGAGTCCGCGTCCACCGCGCGGATCTTCGCCACCACCTGCCCCGCCGGCGCCCCCCACGCCGCCCACGCCCACAGCGACCCCGGCGCCGACGCCGACGCCGACGCCTCGCCCGCAGCCCAGGGCTCCGGCCCGCCGCCGGCAGGCGGCAGCAGCGCCGGCGCGTTGTCGTTCTCGTCCACCACGAACAGCTGCACCGTGGCGTTGCCGCACAGCGGCGGCTCGCCCGCGTCCACCGCACGCACCTCGAACTGCAGCACCTGCAGCTCCTCGTAGTCCAGGGGCCGCAGCGCCCACAGACGCCCGCTCTCCGCGTCCACCGACACGTAGCTCGACGCCGGACGCCACCCCGACCCCGACCCCGCGCCCGACCCCGCGCCCCCGCCGCCCTCCGCCACCGAGTAGCTCACGCGCCCGTTGCCCGCCTCGTCCGGGTCCCGCGCCCACAGCCGCGCCAGCTCCGCGCCCGCCGCGTTGTTCTCCCGCGCCAGCACCGTGTACACGGCCTGCGCGAACGCCGGCGCGTTGTCGTTCACGTCCGACACCGGCACCCGCAGCCCGCGGCTGGCGCGCAGCGGCGGCGCCCCGCCGTCCTCCGCCCGCACCTCCACCTCGTACTCCGACACCCGCTCCCGGTCCAGCGCCTCCCGCAGCACCAGCGAGTACGAGCCCGCGAACGTCGCCACCAGCCCGAACGGCGCCGGCGGCCACACCGCGCAGCGCACCCGCCCGTTCGTCCCCGAGTCCCGGTCCGACACGCTCAGCAGCGCCACCACCGTCCCCACCGACGCGTCCTCGGGCACCGGCACCGACAGCGACGTCACCCGCACCTCGGGCGCGTTGTCGTTCACGTCCAGCACCTCTAGCATCACGCTGCAGTGCCCTGATAAAGGCGGAACTCCCATGTCTCTCGCCGCGATTTGCAACTCATATAACCGCACTTCTTCAAAGTCCAGGGGGCCTCGCAGACGGATCTCCCCCGTTTGTGCATCAATGCTAAAGATATCTCTCTTGGTAGCAGGAACTAAACTGACGATGCTGAAAGAAAATTCCTGATTAATTCCCTCGTCCGGGTCGGTGGCTCCTACTTGAGCCACCAACGTTCCCTCTGTCGCGTTCTCCAGCAGCCGCACTTTATACACCGACTGGTTGAACTGGGGCTCGTTGTCGTTCGCATCCAGCACCGACACCAACAGCTCCACCGTGCCTGTCAGTGCCGGCCGGCCCCCATCAGTCGCCGTCAGCACCAGACGGTGCTCGGGCATCGATTCGCGGTCCAGACCTTTCGTCAGCACCAAGAACAGCGACTTCATATTTTCATCTGAAGATTTCACGTCCAGAGCGAAGTGCTCGCTGGGGCTGATGGTATAGGAGAGCTGCGCGTTGGCTCCGATATCCGCATCCGACGCGCCCTCCAGCGGGAAGCGGGAACCGGGAGGCGAGTTTTCCGATAAACTGAGGTTTACCAGAGCGGCGGGGAAGAGCGGCGCATTGTCGTTGATGTCGGTGACCTCCACCTCCACGTGGAAGACGCGCAGCGGCCGCTCCAGCAGCACCTCCAGGCGCAGGGCGCAGGGCGCGCTCTTCCCGCACAGCTCCTCCCGGTCCAGCCGCGAGCTCACCACCAGCGCCCCGCTCGCCCCGCTCACCTCCACGCTCGCCCGCCGGCCCTGCGCCACCAGCCGCAGCCGCCGCGCCTCCGCCTCGCCCGCCTCCAGGCCCAGGTCCTGCGCCAGCCGCCCCACCACCGTGCCGCCCTTGGCTTCCTCCGGCACCGAGTAGCGCACCTGCCCGCCGCCCAGCGCCCAGGCCGCCTGCAGCACCAGCACCCGCACCACGGCCCGCACGCACACCACCATGGCCGCCGCCGCCGCCCGCGCCCCGCACGGCTCCCAACGCCGCCGCCGCCGCTCTCCTGCCCGCCCCGCGCCGCTCCCCCCGCGCGCACAGCCGCCCTTCCCGCCGCCCCGGGGCGGAGCCGCCCTCCCGCCGCTCCCGCGCCGTTCCTGAGCCTGCAGCGACACCGTGTGCTCCGACGCCTCACTCGCGCCCGCCGCCGACAGCACGACAGCGACACCGACACCGCCGCGCGGGACAGGACAGCCCCGCCACTCGCGGGACACACCACGGACACGGCGCCGACACCCACCCCAGCACAGCCCGAGACAGCTCCCCGCACACTGACTGGCTTCCAGCCCTTGCTTGCTTCCTTTTCTGTCTCTCTCCTCCTTTGCTTCTCCTCCATTCTCTCTCTTGCTTGCTTTCCTGCTTGCTTCTTGCTTGCATGCTTTCTTCTGCATGCATACTTCCTTCCTTCTTTCTCCCTTTTTCTTCTTCCACTTCTTTCCTTCTCTTTTTTCCTTCTCGCACTTTTTTCCTTCTTTCTGAATCTTATTTTCTTCTTCATATATCTCATTCTTTCTCTCTGTTACTTTATGATTCCTTTATTTTATTTATTTTTTTTTCATTCGATTTCTTCTTCCTTTTTTATTCCCATGTTACTTCGTTTTTTCTTTTACTTCCTTTCAGTCTTCTTTTCTGTCTGGAGCGGTGTTTGTGCTCCACATGCCACTCCCTGCACATCGGCCTGCTGCCAGCCCTGCATGCATCATGCCGACGGATGCTCCTCCTTGATTCTTTTCTTGCTTGCTTGCTTCCTTCCTTGCTTTCCCGTATCTCTCCTCCTTTGCTTCTCCTCCATTCTCTCTCTTGCTTGCTTTCCTACTTGCTTCTTCCTTGCCTACGTTCTTCTAGACATCTTCTTTTTTTTTTGACTTCTTTCCTTCTTTCTGAAACTTCATTCCTTCTTGACATACATTCATTCTTACTTTTTTCCATCGTTATTCATTTGTTTATTTTTTAATTCGATTTCTTTTTCCTTTTTCTTTCTATGCCCCTTCCTCTTTTTTCTTATATTTTCTTTCAGTCTTTCAATTCCTTCTTTCAGTTTTACAACTTATTCCTGGTTTCCTTCTTTCCTTCACTCCTTCTATCCATTTTCTTCTCTTCCTCTCCTCTTTACTTCTCATGTTTCCCTTCCTTATATTAGCCTTCATAACCTTTCCATTTCCCTCCTTGCCCTTTTTTCGTCTTCCTTCACTTTTTTCCCCTCCTTTATCGAAGCGCTGTCTAAATGCCTACAACATCAAGTGCACCATCAAGCACAGACATGACCTCAGCCAAGCTCTCTTCTTCAGCTTCCTCATGGCCTTTCATTGAGCTCTGTACAGGGTTCCTCAGCACTCATGAGGACAACATCTTCCCATCTCTCTTCTCCTTTTCTTTTACTACATTCACTGTCTTGCTTGCTTCTTTTGCTTGCATATTTTCTTCTCAATGTCTTCTTTCCAACTTTCACTACTATCCATCTTTCACTTCTTTCCTCCTTCCGTCTTTGCTTCCTTGCTTCCTTCCTTTACGTATTTTCCTAAATTTCCTTCCTCTCATTTCTTTCTTGCTTCCTTTCCTTCCTTCTATTTCTCTTTCCTCTTTTGTTTCTCTTCCATTCTCAGTCCTGGTTGCTTCTTGCTTGCCTACATTCTTCTCAATGTCTTCCTTCCTTCTGTCCTGCTTTCTCTCATGTTCTTTCTTCACTCATTCTACACCTCTCTTCCAGCTCCTTCATTCTTTCAGTGACATCCTTCCTTTCTACTTGATTCATCCTTTCAGTTCCTTCTTTCCTTTTCTCTTACTTCTTTCAGTCATCCTACAGTATCTTCATGCTTCCTTTCTTTCCTTCACTCCTTCAATCCATTTGCTTCTCTTCCTCTCCTCTCCTCTTTACTTTTCCTTTTTTTTTTTCTTCCATTCTCAAAATGCTTTCCAAATGCCTACACCACTCTTCAAATCAAGATACGACATGCTCTGAGGCAAGACCTCTTCTTCATCTTCCTCACCGCCTTCCATTCTGCTATGTACAGCATCCCTTAGCACTCAAGATGGCCATGTCCCCCCAAGGAATTTCTCTGATGAGCCACCGCACACCAAAGGACCTGGATGCCCACTGCAAACAGGCACCAAGACCTCCATACAGCTCAGGTAAGTCTTTCACTCATTTTATTATTATTTTTTTTAACAACAAAAAATACATACATCTGTCTCTCAAAAACATATTTTGCATATGAACAACATACCAAGGCTCTGCAGAGCCTCACCTTCTCCCACCACTCCCAGGATCTTCCTCACTGCACAAACGGCACTCTTAATGTTTTGCACTGGCTCAGCAATCTCTGATGGAAATGGAGGAAGCTGACCCGATAGACAACATTTACAGCAGTTTCTGCTGGAGCAGCCACTCCTCATGCTCAGGGACATAGGAGACAAAGGCCATCTGACAGACTGCTGCAAAACCAGGCCTATGGTACAGAACAGTGAGATGAAGGAAAACCAAGTGGGCAAACAAAAATAAGACTCTACGTAGAACCTGGGGAGGCCATGGAACACTGGGCCAGGGATTGACACAACTTGCCTTCCATGGAGACAGACAAGCCTTCACAGGATGAGGCCCTGATCAGCCTCACCTAACTGCAGTGTTCGTCCTTCTCTCAGCAAGGGAACCATGGACGTCCATGTGTCACCTTCAGCACAAGCTACCTTAAGGTCCTTGTCATTCACTTCCATTGCAAAAAGGGAGGTCATCCCAGGAAAACACCACCTTCCAACAAGTTGCAAGCAAACACAAGGGAAGATTGCCCTGCTCAAGATCACTGTGAGAACACCCAAAATGGCCCAGTCCTACTCAGCGCCACTGACATGTTCACCTCCATGAGATACCAGACTTGCTCACCACAACCCAAGGCTGACTCCAGCTTTTGCAGAACCTTCCCATCAATGAAAGCACCACAAAGAAACATACAAACCGAATCACATAGACACTGTCTGCAGCACACCCTCTGCAGCTGACCCTTCCACTTTTCTGTGCTTCAGCAATCTCAGATGCAAACATTACAGGGGGATAAGGAACTGTATTCCTAAAGGTGATGTTGAGACAGCCCAAAAGGCAAAGGGTGCTCATTTCATTTTGTGAAAGGACAACCCAGATGTTGACAAGCAAAGCACTCTTATGGATAACATCAACTCTTTGCATGTATGTATTACATCTTTCAATGAAAAGTTATGGGGCTTTTGAAGGAGGTGGTTGCGACTGTCAATGTTGAAAGCACAGGAAATCAGGACACTGTATGTCAAACCATTTCTCTGCTCAGAAACTAAAGGCCATAATCAGGCAAAGACGAGAGCACAATTGTTTCACGTGCCTCTGTGGAATGCATTTCTGAGCAATGTGTCAACATCACAACACCAGCAGCTCTACAGTTTCAGGCATCTTTCTGGAACCACACATACCAAGAAGATTTCACAAGGTCCCCACCCAAAAAAAAAAAAAAAAAAAAAAAAAAAAAAAAAAAAACCACAAGCAACCAAAGACATTTTCATTTGAAAGGTTTCAAGGGCACACTGTATGACAAAGAATAGTGCCTGCAGGATCACCATCACCACCCTTCATGTCTTGCACTCCTTCAGCAATCTCAGGTGTAAGTAAAACAGCAGTTGTTGACCTCATGTCATGACAGATCAAAGCAAAACCAGTATTGTTTTTATTCTGTTAGAGAAAACCTCAGATACTGAACAACTAGCCTCAGTAAGATGTTCCAAACCAGGAGCTGAGGACCTCCTAGATGCGTGCCAACAGAGACGTGAAAATTAAAAAAGAAAAAATACTACTAATAAGGGGATTACACATAAGGGGATTGTAAGTCCATAAAACCAACAGCGGTAGCATACAAGAACGAGTTGAACAAACACCAACGGTGTTCGCCTATCTCATGTTTCTTTACAAGGCCTGTGTGTGAAGGAGCAAGACTCCAACATCGCTGTATCATGAGCATCGGACAAGCCTCCAACTGCACCCAGCTGCAATGACCATGAGCTGGGCACAAGGAAACAATCACGCTACATTTACCAGCACTCCAAGGACACAAGACAGGCCAGTCACCAGAGAATGCATACAACTGGCACAGTCAGATCCTCTGAAGCCATCCTCAAACAAAACACCTTGGCTCGTGCGTCAAACCAGTTTCTTTCTTCTCCTGACTTCTGGCTGTGCTCTTCTACCTCTCTATTGCAAAGCACACTAGTGGCATACTCATAGAGGGAAAAAGTATAACAGGGTTTCAGATGCATCTTCCCCTTTACAAACTACTTTCTGGTGGTCAAGAGAGTGAAAAAGTCAATGTATCTTCAAAGAGCATAGAAAAAGATGGGGGGCACAAGAAGGGCATGCAGAGAGCAGCGAAATGGTGATCACAAGCAATTACAACTCTACACAGAATCCATGCAACAGCAGGATAGCAAGAGAGTCAAAATGCCTTCCTCTGACATACTCTGACCTGCACAAGAAAAGGCTCTCTGTAATTTCATCTAACACAATTCCAGCCCTCCACACAAGGACAACACACCTCAAGGAATTCTCCTCAACGGAAATCACCCACTCTACTTCCTGGCCCACTTCTCTGCAATGTCTGAACTTTTTCCTTCTCGTTCAACACGTCCCAGAGAAGAAAGAGGGATTCACAACTGATGGAAGGCAATATGCCTCAAATGACATCCAGACCATTTCAACACCACTTATTGTCTCAGTTTAAGGAAGACCTTCAAATCTTGTGTCTTGGAGTCTGGGAAAGGGTCTTCCACAGCAACACTCTGGGACCATTCTCCCTCAGGCTTTGCTTTAGACACCCATGATCCACCATTCTGGGACATGCGTTCTTAACACGAACAGGCATCGCTTCTTCTTCTGTTATGGCAAGCAATGCAGATCCTTTTCAACTTCATCACTCACATCAGGGAATGGCCAGGTCCCATTCACTGCCACTGCCACATTCATCTCCACCTGATTACATCATTTCCCTTCCCACCCCATGGATCACTCCAGCTTTCACAGACCCTTCCCATCAATCACAGCTGCAAAATATATATATATATTCCAATGGTACCAAATCCACAATGTCTGGCAGACTCTCTGTAATAACTTCTAAGCAGAGCTCTGTGTGAAATGCCACTTCCCTAACAAGGAATACAAATCCACAGTCAGAAAAGCCCAAAGACCCAAATGTCACCTTCATCATTTCTTCTTGACAGGACAGTCAAAACACACAAAAACAAAGTTCTCAACAAGAACAAAAACAAAACACTGCACAATGATAATAGCAGGCTTGTCATTCAGCTAATTAAAGGGCTTTCAATAGTGCCTTCTTGAGAGTCACCACCAGACCGACTCTTCCTGGCCTGCAGTCCTTCAACAGTATCAAGCAGAGCTGCT